AGACTTTTCCACTAAAGTCTAAAAAGGGTACCAACCCAACATCAAAATGGAATTTTACTATTGATGATACCTAATATGTATATACATATAAGGCAATGTTTTTAAACCCAAACCGGAGGTCAAACCATTTTGACCTTCGATTCATGATTTGACCAATTGAACCAATTTAACGGGTAAAACCGCCGGGTTGATCAAACTATTATAAATATATTATTCTGCAAGATATTTCACAAGATGTTAGTTGGGTGTAGTGGTAATTGGTTGATCTTAACATTTGAAAGATCACAAGTTCGAGCTTTTGTGAGAATAAACTTTAATATAATTGTGGTTTTAAAGATAGAATAAATATATTGTAAAGCAAAGAAATAGCAAATAAAAGGTTGTGTCTCAAGTGGTAGAGTTTTTGTTTTTGTTTCATATCATAGAGAATGGGTATTCGAATCCATGGCTGTTATTAATAATTTAGTTAAAAGTTTTGAGAATTCTATTAGATAAATAAAATTCCAAGATCTTAATGACATAAGGGTTGCATTGTCCTAGTGGTAAAGAGTCGAAATTAAGGTTTTGAGGTTGTGAGTTCAAGTCTCACGGGAGACAAATTTTTGAAGATTTCATGCCCAAGCATTGAATCGTTCAATCGAACGGTTTATTGGTTTGTGCGATTTCAACAATTTTTATTGGTTTCAAATGGTTTATAGTTCAAATGATTTAAAAGATACAACCGAACCATTTATACCGCTGGGTACCAGTTCAACTGGTCTAATCGGTCAGTCCAGTTCGGTCTGATTTTCAAAACATTAATATAAGGTGTAATGCAAGCAGTTGTAAAAACATGTGACCATATATGCCAATTGGTGTTTTTCTCCTACACCAAACTAATTCTAATGTATCCCATAAACACAAAGCATGTATTCCTTTTCTTGCTCAATTCTCTTGATAAGACTTATGATTAGGATGCTTATGAACAAGGGAAGCAACATGTACCTTTAATTTCTTCAAAGGAAACTCAAGCCACAAAAAGAAGTCCACAGCCAACAAATTTTAAGCTCCACTAATCTGTAATCAACCAAAAATACTGGGTTTAACTGCAAAACAACTGGGTTTTGAATCCAAAAGATTAGGCAACTACCCATGAAAGCAAATCACATGGGGAGAATGACAAAATAACAAAAACAACAGAATAACAAATCAATACAAGGCAAATTGAAAGAAAAAAAACCAAAGAAAAAAATAAAAATTAAAATGAAAAACCGCCAACCAAAAAAAAGAAGAAAAACCCAACAAAAGCCAAACAATCAAAAACAGGTAACGAAGAAGGGCCTGAAGGGGCCAACAAAAAAGGAAAAAACAAGAAGAAAAGTCAAGAAGGAAGGAACAAGAAAACCTAAACCCCCGCCAAGAAAGGAGAGAGTGCAGAGGAAATTCATTTGAAATTGAAATTCATGGATTTGAAGGTGAAACTGAAATACACGATTTTTATCCTTTCGAATTAGCTAGGTGAAATGCATGTATTTCAACTAAATTTAATTACCTTTTATTTATATAAAAATAAAAAATAATATTAAATTTAAGAGGTTAAAATTTAAATACACTTTATCAAATTTATGATTCGAAACTGGCCATTAATGATTTGAAATTCATTTAAGTTTCTTCTTTAGGTTTCATTATTATTATTAAGGTAGAACTAATACCATCAAACCTCATATAAGCACGGTGAGAAAACAATCAAACTGCATCACTATTCTAATTTGCAGTCTAAGAAATGGTAGAACTAAAACAGCTGAGCAGAGTCACTGCTTCAACTAACTCATCTCTTTTTTAGCTTAATTATCATCTGTACGTAGCCATTGTCCAATAGTTGGGTCAATGGTTGCTCGTCCTTTTTCTATTCAATATCTTGCGCGCGCTCTCAAGAAGCTTGGCTGATTTGTAGAGGACAGAAGCCTTGCCCACATTCTATCAGTGATCACAACCTTGCGCTGTTTCTCAATGATTCGCTGCAAGTCAACCATTGAACAATCAGAATCCATGACAAAGAATATATTACTTTAAAACCTTATGTCAAGAGAACATACTGTTTTAGACAAGTCTAAAAAGGCATATGAAATACGAATGTATAAAATCAGCGAGAAAACCCCTTATTTGCACCGTTTATCTATTTTATTTTTACGGTCAATAACTTTTAAAATTTTTTTTTTATTAGCACCCTTTCTTTTTCAAAATCTATAAAATTCTTAATATTTTAATAGATCATCACATGAACATTAAAAATTATTAAAAAATATAATATATGACATTCAAAAAGTGATAGTAGCATTATGTAATATTAATTTTTTTTAAACAGCATACAATTTGGGGAATGAGAGAACGGAGTTTTCAAGACAGTGGTGAGTTCAAAACCCCGATCAGTTCACCCAAATACTTTAAGATTTGGAGCACTTTAAAACTTGAGGTCCAACCATTGAGCCTAAGGCCAAATTTAAGATTGTGTAATGTTATTAATCTAATGTAAACCTTTTTTTTTTCATGTGTCATAATTTTCTATACAGACAGCACGTATGTTGTGTGTCAAAAAAAAAAAAAAACCTAAAACCCAAAGCTTTTAAAACAGATCTGCGGAACCATTTTTCTAGATATCAAGTAATTAACCATCAAAAATTCAACTAAGGCCTAGAAGCAAATCCATTGAAAGGCAAATATGTATTAACCAGGCAGCACAAACAAAGAATACCACAGCAAAACAAACAGGGTATTCAGAATAAAATTAAACGAGTTAATTTAAAAATAGTTAAGAAAGAGAAAGGAAAATCGAGGTATCATGAAATGATATGAGATTTGGGGGAGAAGATAATGAGAGCAGGACACTTTCTTTGAGACCGGATCTGATAATCTCTAATCAATTACGCGACGAGTTTAGAACGAGTTATCATTTCTCGATCCGAAAACATTCCAGTCTCCCTCCAAACAAAATTCGAGATAGAAAGTAATGCCGACGAAACCTCCGACGCAATTTCTCCTCTCTTCTTCCCTCTCTAGATGTGATTAGAATCAGAGTCTTCGGCGATCGAATTGGAGTTTCAACCGGAATCAAACGCAGCCAAACACTTCTTTCAGTCTCACAAGAGTAGAATACGAATGATGATCCGCGCCAAGTCTCCAACAGCCGAATTTCGCAAGAGCAAACTACCCTAAATCCCCAAAATAGTTCTGCAGATCTGTTTTAAAAGCTTTGGGTTTAACGTTTTTTTTTTTTTTTGGCAGTGGTCTCACTGCACACGTGGCATTCACGTGTGTAGAAAATTATTACACATCATCAAAAAATTTGATTCACATTGGATTAATAACACTATATAATACCGCCTCATATTTTGGTGTCATGTATTGTATTTTTTAATTATTATTATAATTCACATGATAACTTGTTAAAATATTAAGTTTTTCATGAATTTTGAAAAGTAAAAAGTGTTAATAAAAAGAAAAAATTCTGAAAAGTATTGACAAAAAAATAAAATAAATGGTAGGTGCAAATAAAGGTTTTAACTTAAAATCAGCATATAAAGGAGAAGAAATTCTACTGCACTTCACCTAAGGGATGTATTAAATCACGTGATTGAATCTGACGTTCATAATAAGTTTGTACGTAAGTGGTGTATTAAATGAGAAAAACTCACATCAAGCATATAATAAAGAATCATATGGATTACATATAAAAAGCATTACTTCACCTATTGCCAATTGATTTTCAATTAGATGCAAGTTCTATATTGAAAATTTTCTTTGTTATATACTTGATATTTTCTCATGTACTAAGGTGCAAACCTACTATGAATGTTCAGCTAATACATCCCCTTATATGGATGAAGGCTGAGCTCTGATATCACTCTTAAAAAGAACAAATTTTTTATCAACTGGATACTTTAAAGTATGTAAAATGATTAACGAAATGGGTTTTGCATGTGAATTTTCCAAATTAAATTTCTTAACTTATGATTAAGAACTCACATTGAAGGGTATATAAGCAAGTTTGCTGTTGACAAGACCACATGTGAAGCCAGTATACCCTGCCATTGCTCCATGCACGGCACTCTGGGCAAGAAGTGTGCAGTAAACATTGTCAGATGCATTACTTGGAACAGCACGAATCATGTAGGTCGGATCTGCCAAAAGATGAAGTGAGATGCTTCAATTAAACAAGATCACATCAGAAGAAACAATTCACCAAAGTCAACAGTATCTGAAACATGCATTTTCAATTACCAATATATTTCAAGTTTATGGGAATCTTCCTCTCTTTTGCAAAGTGGTCCTGAAAAAGACAGAAACCAAAGCAATAAAATTCATCCCAAAGGATCTCATATCATCATGCATATCAATCTGAAAATAAAAATGCATCACTTGATGGTCATTGGTTTTGGAAGGGGCTGGATGCCAAAATAAAGTCCTTGGAGAATCCTAATACTCCTAAAGCAACACATCTCTCACCTACTACTATACAGCTACCTAAATAGAAGTGACTTATTTCTATATCATCAACAGTATACCTTGATTCTCTGTGAAATCCACAGTGCAACATCACGAAGAAGCTTGTTTCCTGAAGCATCAGTCATTGAGTCCATGCTCTCAGAAACCAGCTCCTGTCCTGCACCCTCAGCTATTACAATAACCATGTGACCATTTTCTTTGAGTCGTTTCTCAATGAATTCAAAAAGTCCACCAGGTCCTTCAAGATAAAAGGGCGATTCTGGAATCAAACAACAATCCACATCTCGGCTAGCAAGAGTGGCATACATTGCAATAAACCCTGCAAATTAAACCGGTTTAGTTTCCCAAAATGAAAATTATAATAACCCTTACTATCATAAGTGAAAGTAAGTCATCACAGATTGGCCACTTTAGACTTAAAACAGAATTTTACACAAAATGACTTCATGTAAGAAGGAAGCATACCACTATAGCGAGCCATTAACTTCACAACACCAATACCATTCTCAATGCTTTCTGCTTCAACATGTGCAGCATTAATAGCACGTTGAGCCTCCTCAACAGCAGTGTCAAAGCCAAAGGACTTGTCAATAACCTGTAGTGGTAAAATGACAGTTCTGAGAGTAATATGTAACACCCTTGTGATATCACCATTCTAGCAGTTTGGCAAATGAGGAGAAATACCGGAATATCATTGTCAATGGTCTTGGGGATGCCAGCAACTACAACTTTGAGCCCACGCCTTCTAATTTCCTGAACAATTAAGAGTTTAAAACTTCTCAGCATAAACCCATAACTTCATATTTTCCTCCTTTTGTTTTGAAAAAATCAA